CTATTTTTTTTTTATTTAGTACAGAGGAGATTTCACTGCGTTAGGCTGGTTGTGAATTCCTGACCTCAGGCAATCAATCCACTTGCCTTGGCCTCCCAAAGTGCTAGGATTTCAGGTGTGTGCCACCATGCCTGGCCAGTTACACACACTTTTAAAAATAAACTTTGTTTTTTAGAGCAGTTTTTCTTTTTAAAAAATTTTTAGTGTAATTTTTTAAAGGCTTTAAAAAAGAATGTTTTTAAAGGCTAGTCAAGCAAAACGGTGGGAGTGGAGAAGGAACAAAGAAATCTGTAACTGGTTGTGATCAGTTAGTTGTAAATCCCACTGCACTCGGAACAGGCTATGGCAGATTTTAAATTTATGGAAAAATCAAGGAGATGATGGTACAGAGAGTTTCCGTAAACTCTGCGCCCAGTGTCCCCTATTAACTTCTTAACTGGTCTCGTGTGTTCATTACAATGAATGAATCCGTACTGATTGGTATCAATTGAGTCCATTCTTCATTCAGATTTCCCTTGTTTTTACTTTTTTTCCTTTTTTTGAGATAGAGGCTTGCTCTGTCACCCAGCTGGAGTGCAAATCTCAGCTCACTGCAGCCTCCACCCACTGGTTTCAAGCACAATTCTCCTGCCTCAGCCTCCCAAGTAGTTTGGATCACAGGCATGCACCATCACACCCAGCTAATTTGTATTTTTAGTACAGATAGGGTTTCACCATATTGGCCGGGCTGGTCTCGAACTCCTGACCCAAGGTAATCCACCCGCCTTGGACTCCCAAAGTGCTGAGATTATAGTCATAAATGACCATGCCCAGCCAACCTAACACTGTTTTCTGTTCAGGATCCTATCCAAGACATCCATTTCCAGCCGAGATCAGGTGCGTTCACAGTGATGTGGCCGTAGACAAGGCATCCATTTTCAGAAACATGTTTTACCACAGGTATTCCTATCATTTTTGATCCCAACTCTTTTTACACGCGCAGGTGGAGAAGATCTTGTCATATCACTGACTGTTCTTTGTATACCTCATGTGAGGTGGCTGTTGGCTTGTTCCATGGTGTGGATGTCCCCCCGGGGACCTCAGGGTGGTCATTGTCGGAAGTGCAGCTGTGTCTGCTAGGCTGCGTCTAGCCCTTTCTGACAGTGATGGGGGGCCAGGCATGGCACCCCCTTCCATGTCAGGAGGGGACAGCCTTGGAGTCGCACAGGCCTCTGCCAGCATCCCTCCACTCCTGCTGGATATGGCCACCTGAGATGGCCGATCCTGAGTGAACACAGGGATGTGTGCCTGAAACAGCCTGGACTAGGTCACACAAGGGGATGTGCCTCAGTTTCCTGAGCCTCAGCTTCCCCTTGGGGAAGTGGGGCACACTCTGACATCCTTCACAGGCTTGTTGGGGGGAGCCAAAGAGGGTTCACAGAGGGAAGTGACTCGCCGTGACCGCATCAGTCATGGTCAGTCACGGGAAGACACAGCTTTTAGTTTTTAAGACTGAACGACCTTCCTGACCAGCTCCTTATCTACCACACAGCCCGAAGATGGCTCAGTTTAAAATAGCTGCTCACCTCTGGGGCCATTTACAGAGGGTTGTCGGCCCTCATCCTGCTTTGTGGCCTTTCAAGGAAGGCCCTGAGCAGCAGGTCCTGTGGACAGGATGTTTCCCTGTGAGCCCATTGAGAAATCCCCCTGGAAATCCTCCTTTGACCTGGCTCAGGCAGGCGAGAGAATTGCAGACAATGGAGAGCCGGAGAACAAAGAGAGCGATTGTGCAGCGACTCAGGCAGGGGTCACGGACGCCCCAGGCCAGGCAGCAGCCCTGCACTGGCCACTGGGTTTCTGCCCACCCGTGGGGTAGCCAAGAGCGCTCCATGGAGGAGGGGGATCAAGGCCAGACCCCTGGTCTGAGGCTCCGTACTCTGTCCTGCCTGACAGCACTGTCCCGGAAGGTAGAAGTTCTCTTTCACGTTTATCTTCAGGGGCTGCGTTCTTTGCAGGTGGGGTCCAGCACCCATTGGGTCTGAGCAGCTTGGTGTGGCATAGTTGGTGGTCTGCTCATGGGGCTCCGGGTTGACCAGGCCCTGCCCATCCTACGTTATTCAGGTCTTTGCCCTGGAGAGCCCTGAGGTTTGAGCATAGGCATGACCTTGGCCAGGGAAGGGTGGCACGGGGCACACCTGCCACTCCTTCTCCAGTGCTGATGGTGGGCTTTCACCTTCCCTCCCCTCCTCTTTGCTTCAGTGATCGTGGGACCAGCCTCCCAGCTGGCCTCCCTGGCTCCAGGATGGTCTCGTCTGTCCTTCTGGAGTGTTCTTCCTGAAACAGCCCCACCCTGCACTCGGCCCTGTGATCTGGCTCGGATGCCTTTGCCACACCCCTTTCCCTTGTCTTTTGGAGGGAGATGAGTGGAAGTTCTTTTTTTTTTTTTTTTTTTTTGAGACAGAGTCTTGCTCTGTCGTCCAGGCTACAGTGTAGTTGGGCAATCTCGGCTCACTGCAACCTCCGCCTCCTGGATTCAAGCCATTCTCCTGCCTCAGCCTCCCAAGTAACTGGGACTACAGGTGCCTGCCACCACGCTCGGCTAATTTTTGTGATTTTAGTGGACGTGGGGTTTTACCATGTTGGCCAGGCTGGTCTCGATCTCCTGACCTCAAATGGGCCTCCCAAAGTGCTGGGATTGTAGGCGTGAGCCAGTGCACCCAGCCATGAGTGGCAGTTCCTTAACACCGTTATCCAGGTGTTTCTGTACCTCCCCGCTTTCTCTGTCTGTCTTCTCCATCTCCAGTTCCCTCCTGTGCCCCCTTCCCCTCCTGGCCTCACTGGGGAAGTCCCATGTATCTCTCTGTGTCCAAAAACCCCTCCTGCCTCCTCCACTGCACTCAGTGACTCTTGGAGGTGTGCTTCTGTCTGGGCTGTGCTGTGTTAATGGCAGTCTCTATCTTGAGCTCTTAAGACAGCGCTGTGTCTTAGCTGGTCTGTCACCCACTGTACATGTGGGCTGTGTCCCTGGGAGTGGCTAGCGGGGCTGGGGACAACCTCAGTAGGGGAGGGAGGCCTGACACCAAGGGCCGTGTGGGCCGAGCTTTGGGGTCACATGTGAGTTGCCCAGCCTCTCCTTCCTCTGGGAGCACCAGGGGCCAGGCCTGCTGGCTGTCTGTCCCAGCAGCTCCAGCCACCTTGCTGACTGAGTTCCTGGAAGGTGTCTACTGTCTAGGAATGTGAGGCCAAGACAAAGGGGCCAGCCCTGCCCAAGTGACCCACTCCAGGGTATGGGGGCAATGTAGGCTATGTGGGGCTTGTCACTGTAGCCCGCTGCTAGGTCATTAGTGCCATACCCTGGCCAAGACTCCAGAGCCTTGGGACTGAGCCAGATGGCGGTGGGCGGGGTGTGCTGGCCTGGGCGGCCTCTGGTAGACAGCCTAACAACCAACAGCCGTGTGTGCCTCAGTTTCTTCATTATTGGAATGGGTACCCCACCCCCACTCCTGAGTGGGATGGGGAAGGAATTGGGAAAGGTGAAGGCAGGCAGGAGCTGGCATGTGGGTGCCTCTCTTCTGCTGCCCTGGACTGCCCAGGCCTGCCCCTGCCTTCCCCAGGCCATGTGTGCCTCACCTCAATCCTGAATCCAGTCCTCACCTTTCCGGCCCCTCCTCTTCCTTCTGGGTTTCTTGCCTGGGCTGTCTGGGGCTGGGCCCTGGAGAAAGCTCCAGGAAGAGTTGGGAGCCTGTCAGTCAGTAGGGCAGCGGGGAACACACGCCCTGGGATCTGGGCAGGAGGACCAGGGAGGGGAGGGCAGGGCAGGGGGAGCCCCCAACCCCAGGCCCCTGCCAGCTCCCTTGCAGGTCCCACTCACTGTGTGAGTATCCCTGAGCCCACAGCAGACTCGGAGTCACACTGAGCCTCTCTGCCCCCTCCCACACTTCTCCACCTCCACCGGCAGAGCAGGTTCCAGAGGTGTGGATGGGACACCACAGGGATACTGTGTCCAGGATGGTGCCTGTGGGGGCAGCCCTGTCACTTCTCTGGCTTGTTTGGCGGAACTTCAGCCCCAGGACAGGGGTATCCCCAATGTCATCGCACAGGGAAAAGGCACTCAGGAGCCCAGGGGACTGTGTGTGTCCCCAGGTGGGCACCTCTGGGCCTGGGGCTGCCTGGGTCAGACAGGCCTCCATGGTGTGACCTGAGCAGCTCCCTCGGGCTCTGTGACTCAGTTTCCTCACCTGCAAGGGGGGTTTCATGAGCGATGGAGAGGGTTCTCAGCCTGAAGTGTTGGCAAGACAGCACCCTCCTCCATGCCCCAGCAGGGCTTGGGGATGGAGGCGGGGCAGGGAATGTGTCAGCACCAGCAGGGTGACACGGACCACATCCACCTGTCACCTAGAGCCTTCCACGGCACAGTCACACCTTCCAGCAGATTGTTACATCCTCACCTTAGAGAAGCGCTGAGAGAAGTCAGCTCTGTTCTTGGAAAGGGGCTGGGACAGCAGCACTTGTATTAAAGGAAATAAAACTGTCCTCTCTCCCGATTACACGTGATGAACTCACTGCTGTGCCAACAGCCCAGCAGTTGTGAGCATTTCACTAAAGGTCAAGAGCAAAAATAGAAGCAGCGGGGAGGGATGCTTTTAAACCATTGAACATGACCAAGAGGAGCGTGCAGGCTGTGGAGACACGCGAACACGCACACACACACAGTGACAGGGCATAGGTACAGGCCATGTGGGTCTTGAGACACGTGCACACTCACTCACACACACAGTGATGGGAGTAACAAACACAGTGAATAAGCAACCACATCACTACCATTTAAGAACCTACTGCATGACGGAGGATACAGCTGTGGGCTGTATGGGTGTGGAGATGTGTACACACACACACACACACACACACACACTAATGGGGATACAGGATGGGGTGTATGGGTGTGGAGATGTGTGTACACACACAGATGGGGATTCAGGATGGGCTGTATGGGTGTGGAGGACATCCTGTCGGCAGGACCTGTTCCTCATGGCCTTCCTTGAAAGGCCACAAAGCAGGATGGGGGCCGATGACCCTTTGTAAATGGCCCTAGATGTGATCAGCTATTTTAAACCGAGCCCTCTTCAGTTTAAAATAGTTGCACACACACACACACACTGATGGGGATTCAGGATGAGCTGCATGGGCATGGAGGTGTGTACACATACATACGCACACTGATGGGGATTCAGGATGGGCTGTATGTGTGTGGAGGTGTGTACACACACACACACAGATGGGGATTCAGGACGGGCTGTATGGGCGTGGAGGTGTGTACACACACACACACACACACACACACACACACTGATGGGGATTCAGGATGGGCTGTATGGGCATGGAGATGTGTACACAGACACACACACACACACTGATGGGGATTCAGGATGGGCTGTATGGGCGTGGAGGTGTGTATACACACACACACACACACACACTGATGGATTCAGGATAGGCTGTATGGGCGTGGAGATGTGTACAAACCCACACACACAGATGGGGATTCAGGACAGGCTGTATGGACGTGGAGGTGTGTACACACACACACACACTGATGGGGATTCAGGATGGGCTGTATGGGTGTGGAGGTGTGTACACACACACACAGATGGGGATTCAGGACAGGCTGTATGGACATGGAAGTGTGTACACACACACACACTGATGGGGATTCAGGATGGGCTGTATGGGCGTGGAGGTGTGTACACACACACACACACACACAGATGGGGATTCAGGGCAGGCTCTATGGGCGTGGAGACATGCACACTCACATGCACTAGCAGACATGCACCTCACCCCTTCACACTCCATCCTGTACATTCCCCAGTGCAGTTCCTCAGCTCCCCACCTCCCCACCTCAGGCCTGGCTCACTGCAGGAGTGTTTCCCTGAGCCCAGCAAGTGGGCGGCAGACATGGAGTTACCCTAGGCCTTCCTGCCTGTCCCACCCACCCTGTCCTGGGCCTGGGGAGCCCAGTGTTACTCCACGTCTGCTGCCCACTTACTGGACACACCATCTCCCTTCTCTGAGCTTCAGTCTCCCAGCTGCTAGGTGGGCTTGGGGTCGCTCCTGCAGAGCTGTGCAAATCGGAGGAGCACAGTGGCATGCGGTAGGTTCTTAAATGGTAGTGAGGTGGTTGCTTATTCAGTGTGTGTTTATTAAGTGCTGTGGGCAGGCCGCCTGGGAAGGGGAGTGAGGAGTAAGATGCGTACTTGGAACCAGAAAGGAGCCGTGCCTAGGGGTGTTGTTTTCTGAGGTTTGAATTGGCCCAGCTCTGTGCAGCCCTGCTCCCTGAGATGTCTGCTCTGACTCCCCAGGCCTCCAGCTGGCTCTGGGACTGATCAGGGAGGGGAGGGCAGGGGTCCTGGGCATGGTGTTCACTGGTGTCCACGGTGCCTCCAGGCAGCCTGGGGGCGAGGGAGACTCAGCAGTGGGTGTGGGTAGGAGCTGTGCTGAAGGCATCCAGGGAGACCTGGAGAGAATGCTGCCTTGCTGTGCCGTCTTGGGCATGTGGCTTACCCTCTCTGAGCCCCCACTTCCCTGTAGAGTGACTGATAGTCTGTTCCACACTCTGAATCCCCAGGGTGTTGTGGGGTAGGAAGATTGTAAATCTGGAAAGAGGCCGTGCGATTGTTTGCTGCGCTCCAGGCAGCCCTAGTCAGGAGCCGGGATCCCACCAAGTTTGATGGGAAAGGGAAGGCTGAGGGGTTGGGGCAGGTGTGGGGGGCTCTGCAGCCATTTGCCTCCCACCTGCCTCTGGCCTCCCTGTGCGGACTCCCTGGGCCTCACAGGTTCTCAGAGGCTCAGCTGCAGGGTGAGAGAGTCAGGTCCTACAGGCCAGTTCATGAGAAGTGCATGGCAGCACCATCCCCTCCTGGGGGATGACAGATCAGGAGTCTCCAGGCGGAAGTGAAGATGGGGCTCCTGGGAGCTGCTGCTCGCAGGGTCTCAGTCCTTCTCTTGGGCCAGCTTTGTTCTGCATATCGGAGCAGGAAGAGGTACCTTAAGCCATGTGGCCTGGGGACCCGTGGGACCACCTTTGCAATGACCCTGGGTTTTAGATGGGGTCAGAGGGTGGGCTTCAGGAGGCCTATGTGTATAGCAGCCATGCTCTGAGTTCAACTTAAGGGCTCCTAAAATCCTCACCCAGTGCCACAGTTCAACCTGTGGTGTGTTTATGCCTTGGACGCACCCCTGGCCCTCTTTGTGGGATTGTGGCTACTCTGGGGATGGAGGGAGATGCAGTCATTAGTGTGAGCCACCCCCATTAGAGAGGCACAGACCGGTGAGATTTGGAGGAGTGGGGTGGTCATAGCAGTGGGTTTTCCCTGGGTTTTCTGTTGTAGCTCAAGTTCTGGAAGGGAGTGGAGGGGTGTCGTCTCTGCCCACATGTGTGATTTGGCGTGGTAGGTGATTTGGAGTCCTGATGTCCACCCTTGCCCCTGGTAGGCCACTGTGAAACACAGGTGGTCTGTGGGGGTCAGTCTGTGTAGCATTGTTCCAGCTTCCAGCCTGTGTGTCCCTGGGTGGGCCCCTTGCTCTGGAAGCCAGCTCCCCATTTGTCTTGTTTTACCTCTGACAGCTGGTGATGGCCCTGGTGGCTCAAGGCAGGCTGGTAGAAGCCTGGAGAGGGGTGACCTCATGGCCTGCTCATCCCTGGTGGCCTGCAAGCCCGGCACACGCAGGCCTGCTGTGCACAGAGCATGATTCATACAGGGCCCCCAGCAGATGGGACACATGGGGCTGCCGCCCTGTTGTCCGTTTAAGGGGAAGAAAGTTAGTGGGCGCAGATGTTTGTGGGTGATTCCCTCTGGTGTTGGCAGCTTGCATTTTTGTAGTGCTTTCAGCTCTTGAGAAAGTTGTCTTCCTTTCTCAGTGGGTCCTCCTGGCAACCCTTTGAGGTGCATTACCAGCAGAAGGGGTAAGGCTCGCTAAGTGATTGCTGGGCGCTGGTGCCAGCTGAGCTCTGGATGTCAGACAGAAGCAGCTGGGGCCCTGGTGGCAGAGGGGACCCAGGAGCCACACTCATGAGTCGTGGGGCCTCTCCCAGGCCCCAGAGGGCCTTGCCACTCCCCTGGTACCAATGGCTAATGCGTACTAAGCATCCTAATCCCCTGCTCTGGCTGAGGGTCAGGACGTGGCCTCACCCACGGAAGCCTCCTGTGTACGGGAACTCAGGTGGAACAGGGCCGGATCCTGGGGCCAGTGCCAGTTATCAGGAAGGAAGGGTTCCCCGACTATCCCCATGGAGGCTGGGACCAAGCCCCCTTCCAGAAGGCCACCCTCTGGCTGTAGTTTTGACTCTCCAGGAAGCCTTTCTGTCCCCCCTTAAAGGCATTTGCCTTGTGACCTTGACCACTCACTGGCTTCTCAGAGTCTGCGGGTACAACCCTGGGAATGACCCATGGGGTGGCCAGTGTCCCACTCAGCAGCTTCCACCGCCAGTCTCTGGGTGGGGACCTGGTCCCCGGCCTCCTAGAATCCCCTGCAGGCCCTCCACCAGTCCCTTTTGCAGATGTGGAAGCAGGTTCAGAAATGTGCCCGGGTCATAGCTGTGAGGGGTCAGGCCACCTGGCCCGGCTGGTGCCCCTCGGGCAGATGCAAGGACCAAGCAAATCAGATGGTGCTGACGAAGCCCCTGCCCAGCAGGCTGATGCCATCAGCACCACTGCCTCTCCTCCCTGCTGGCCTCTTATCTCCCTGCATTCCCTAAATTCCGAGCGGGCCACCCCGCCCCCCTGCTCACAGGCCGGGAGCTCCCCACCTCCCTCCCTCAGCTTTACGGCCTCCCTGCCCAGGGTCTGGATTGAACTTGGCAGGGTTCCCTGTGCCTCAGCCTGGCAGGATCGAGTGGGGATGGGGTGAAGGGAACACGTGGGAGGGTGAGCGGAGCGTATGGGGGGCGTTGGGGCCTGGTTGGGGGAGAGTGAATCGCCACAGAGAGCAGCCCAGTGTCCTCCAATCCAGGAAGGATTCCAGCAGGGATCAGATCTAATTGTTTCTGCCAGACAAAAAACTCCCCAGAGCAGTGTTTGCTTCTTTGCTGCTTCCCTGGGGGGAGGCTGAGGTCTTGCTGGTGTTGCTGGTGCCGAGGGCAGGTGGCAGGTCAGAGAGCACAGCTGGGTGGCCGCTTCCAGCACACGGGCTTGTTCCGGAGGCTGGGCGGGCATGGCAGAAGCAAGAGAGCAGCTCTCCTGTCCCAGAGTTTAACTCCTGCGCGTCCCTAGCATGCATGCCAAGCCCTCCTGTCAATCAGGATGTTCCATCAAGATCCAAATGCCAGTGCAAATGGCAACTCATGAACGGGGCAGTCCCTGACCACCCTTTGCATCCCAGGATGAGATGAGTTGATGAGACAAGGAGAATTCCACCAAGGGAGGCTGTGGGAGGCCCTGGTGGATGCCCCTCACTTGCATGGCAGCCCTGGAGTGCTTGGGGGCCGGAGGAGCGATGCCACGTGCTCTAACCAGGCTTCTGTGGGGCAGGGGTGGAGGGGCTGGGTGGGTTGTGAGGGGTGCATCTCCTGGAGGGCTGCCATCCCACGCAACAGCAGCACCCCTGCCCTGTGTCATGGGGACTGCAGGGCTACCCCAAGGCTATACAGAGCAGGGAGGTTGGCATCATTTAGAGCCAAGCTCTGTGGCTGCGGGCCCTGGCCCTGGAGGGAAGTGTTGGCATCTGGCTGCACCCTGTCCTTCGAGCCAGAGCGTCCAGGCCGGGGCTGCCTCTTGAGTGACTGCCTGCCATCAGCAAGGCTCTGGGTAACCAGTGCCTCCATGGGGACACTGAGGCCCAGGGTAGGGAAGGGGCACCAGACCTCAAAGGCGTGGCCTCAGCTAGTTTTCCTGCAAGTCTTGGGTGACAGCTGAGGGTTCTGTGCTTCCATTTGAGACTCAATGACCTTCAGTGGAGCTAAGAAGAAAACTCTTCTAAGGGGGTTGGGAAAATGGGGGCCTGGGAGCAGCTTCTGAAACTGCTGGAGCACCCCCACCCATTCACCAGGCAGAGTCAGCTCTCTGAGGGTTCCCGCTAGAGTCCTGGCCACCCACGGCTCAGTGCCCTGCAGGGAGCACTTGGAGGTCCTGTTTGCTCTAGGTGGGAGGCTGAGTGACGCTAGACAGCTGAGCAGCAGGCCCAGCGGAGACTCTGGGGCACCCGGGAAATGAAGTGGTGCCTGGGCGGCCGCACGCCTGAGTCCCTGCCTGGTCTGAGCCTCGGGAAATAGCCGAGGCTTCACTTGTCCCCTTTCATCTTTGGCACCAGGCTCTGTCCTCTGCCTTGATGTATGGCGTCTCCTGTGGTCACCAGGGTGCCTTCTGCCCTGAGGCGGCTGCCATCCTGTCTTGCAGGTGGTGAAGCCAGGGCCTGGGACTTGGAGCAGACATTCCTTCCTCAGCCATTCATTGAGCATCTATTGCACACCAGGCCCCATTGCCATGCTCCTGGGTTACTTCCATGAGCAAGACAGACAGAAGTCTCCTTGGGGAGACAGATAAACCAGCAAACAAATCCATGGACGGGATAGTTTCATGTCCTGGTGAGTGCTAGGAAGAGCAGAAAACAGATGGTGGCAGGGGAGGCCTCTTAAGGAGGGGCCAGGTCACCTGGGGCTTGGATGATAAGGAGCTGTTGTCCCTGGAAGATTTCCAGCAAAGGGCAGATGTGACAGCTTTCCCAGAGCTGACCAGGCCCTGTGGCTGGAGTCTGGTGACCGGAGGGCAGGGAAAGAGGAGCTACTGGGGTTGGGATTTTATCTTAAGCTTGGCAGAGGTATGATACCTGATCACTTACACTTCTGAGGCCCTCTGGCTTTTCTGTGGAGCAGGGGCTTCGGGTGGGGGTGGGAGCTGGGATTGCAGGCTGGACACCAGCCCGCAGCCCTGGCAGTGTCCCGTGAGGAAAGCCACATGCCACAGCTTCCAGTTTCCTTGGGAAAGTAGGGGGGAGGAGGTGGCAGTGATGGCGTGAAAAGACCCAGCCGCCCCCTGCAGATGGAGGGACTCTTGGGGAGGGCCACAGCCTGGCCATTCACTAACACTGCTGGGGCCAGGGCCACTGAAGCCCACCCTGGAGGTCTCTCTAGGGACCAGCACCCTGTGAATTTGACCCCTCAGGCTTGGGAGGACATGTGGGGAATCTGACCCTTGCCTCTGCCTTCCAGAGACTTCCAGGTGCTGTGTTAGGGTTCGGGGCTCTGGACCTCATGCTCTGAGATGCCGATAGGCGGGTGCCTATAGCAGGCAGTCCCCAGCTCGGTAGCCCACATGCTCACCCCCGGTCCCCTCCAGCTCCTTCCCCTGAGGCTTCCAGGCCAAGCTAAAGAGGGCAGGAGGCTGGATAGGTGTGATGTTCCAGGCCACCCACGTGCCAAGAGGTGCCAGAAAGCAGGAAGGAAAGGAGCAGGTGGGATTTGTTGTTCTGGTAAGCTCATGGGAGACAGGCTCCCTGTCACAGGGGGCATCCAAACAGGCATCTGCCTCCTGAAATATTTACATTGGCAAAGGCCCCGGACAGGCCACAAATTACCCTGTGCCTGTGATTCCATTTCCCATCCACTTTTTTTCTCCAAGGAGTTGCTAGTGTTGTAAATCTTCCTGCAAACAGTGGGGAAGAAAAGCATCTCAGATGCCACAAAGCACGTTGAGCATCCATGACTCTTTCGGCTGGTGGAGGGGCCCGCCTGCTCCCCTGTGGACGTGGCTGAGCCTCCCGGCCAGGGGCGCCCAGTGCTGCTGCCTGTGGGTCTGTGTCTCAGCCTTCCAGTACAGCATGGCTGTGCACATTCGCCACCTGCACGCCCAAAAGGCACTTGGTCATCACAGCAGCTGGAGCTGAGGGTTTATTGTAACTGGGTAGCCATTATTGTAATTATTACTGCTGTTGCTGTGGCTGCGATGGTTCCAGTAGCTCTGGCAGTCAGGCCTCGGCGAGATGGCTGGGGATTGGGGGTGGTGGGGGCGGGTGGGGTTTGTGAGGTCCAGGGTAGAGTCCCGCGTATCGGTTCTGGAAGGTGCTTGGTGTCTCCCAACCCCTCCCCCACGTCCCCGTCTCCGGCCGGCCCCTCACTGGGCTGCCTTTGTCCTCCTTATCCTTTGTCTCCACGCCTCCTTCCCATGAGGGTGGGGTGGTCTTCTGGAGAGGGAGTGCCCCTGGCAGGTGGGGCCACTGGGGCACAGGCAGGGGTGGCAGGGCTGGCTTTGTGCTGGCTGTGAGTTGGAGAAGCCTCTCATCGGATCTGGAAGACAGGGGATGGGTCACCTTCCCCTGCCCCCTTGGAGGGAAGGAGGCCCCTATCCGTTTCCTGGGACCACCCTCCGCCCTTCTTTTCTGCTGATGCCCTGCCACTTGTGTGCAGGTCTGGGTCTTTCTGCTCCTCCAAAGCTTCGAGGGCCTGTGAGCTCCATACTTTCTCTTCTGCCCAGGGGCCCGGGAGGTGAATCTCTAGATAAGGCGAACCTGGTGCCATGGGCTGTAGGTCAGCCCTCTCAAGGTCCTGGAATGCATTTTGTGTCTCCTGCCTGGCCTGGAGGGTTGTAGCCCTGACCCCACACCCTCTTGTGACCCTGTCCTGCTGTCCTCCAACCCCCAAAAAGGAGTACCTGAGGACCAGCCCCCAGCCCCTGTCATCTGGGCTCTGCTGGGGCTCCTCATCCACAGAGTAGGGTCAGTCGTTCTGTGTGGAAGGGTCGGGTGTGGCAGGGGCCGGGCAAGTAGGTGCTGCCGGGCTGTCTGAGGTCAGCACCTCCCCCACTGTCCTGACCATTCTGAGCTTGGTGGGAGGGAAAGTCCTGTCCAGGGCCCCAGGGCCTAGCTCGCAGCGGCCCCAGCATTGGTTGCTGTGTGGCCCTCGGCTTGGTGAACCTCTCTGCATCTCTTTCCTCAGGGGTAAAATGGGGAGATGCTAGAACTTTCCATATTGCAGGGCTGCAATGAGGGCTGGATGGGATGAGGTGTGTGAGGCGCTCGGAGCAGATGTGAAGGCTACGCGTGGATGCCCCTGCCTGGCAGGGGTGATTTGGTCTCAGGAGGACACGTTTCAAGCCCCACTTCCTTCTTGGAGCCCTCCCTGTCCCCACAGGTCTGTGTCCTGCCCAGCCGCGAGCCATTCAGGGTAACGCTGGGCCTGGGCTCTGCCTCTTTTTTCTTTTCTTTCTTTTCTTTTTGAGACAGTGTCTTGCTGTGTCACCCAGACTGGAATACAGTGGCACTATCATAGCTCACTACAGCCTTGACCTCCTGGGCTCAAGCTGTCCTCCCGCCTCAGCCTCCCAAAGTGCTGGGATTATGACAGGCCTTTCCAGCCTCCAGCATCTGCAGATGTTCCAAATGAGTCCTGCCTGGGTCTCGATCCCTCCCGGCGTCACCTGGGAGCATTGCACCTGAAATATGGGTGTGTCACGTGTTGGAGGGAAGCAGAGGTGCAGAGAACTGACAATGTCTGCACTGATGAGGTCGCCTGGGGCGGTGTAGGATCCGGTTTGAGGCCGGATATGCCTGGGTTCAGCTCCTGGCACTGGAGTGGCCTGGCTTTGTGGCCTGGGACTGTCGAGCCACTCACTGTCTCTTGTCTTTTCAAAGCCTTCCTGGGTAGGTAGCTTTTGTGGCTGTGGGTTTGGTCCCTGTCCCAGGGCAGCCGTAACTGTTAGTCCCTAGACAGGGGTGGGTGCTTCTGTGGGACAGGGCAGCCCGGTGGAGCTGGGACCCAGGCGTGGACATCCAGGGAAACCTTTGGAATACTGTCTGTGCAGCCGAGCACACATCCCATTGGCCCAGGAGTCTGTTTGTTTTGGGGACATCAACGCTTCAGAAACTAGAGCCCCGAGTTGTGCGATTCCATTTCCTGGTTCCTTGTTGTCAGCCTTCGTCCCGGAGGACCGCCCCCAGGAGTTGGGAGGATTTACATCTTCCTTCATAGAGATGGTTCGATGTGGGCCTTGCTGCTTTATTCTTTGGTTCAAGATGGTATTGCTGTGGCTGGGTGTGGGGACGGGGATCAGTGGACAGTGAGGACACAGGCCAGGAGTTGGGATTTTATGTCCCTCTTTGCAGCTACCTCTCTCTGCAGTGAGCCCTCCTGGGTCCCCGGGAACCCTCAGCTAGCCTTGGACCTGGGGCTGTGCCAGGCGCCAGCCCTCCCAGGAGAGAGAAGTTCCCCCTGCCTCCAGAGCCCATGTTCAAGGCGCGGTGACGCGAGGACCCCGCAGGAGCCTGCTGGAGCGCCCCCTCGTCATGTTTCCTGTTCTGTCTGTGACATGCTGACTCCCTGCTTTGTTGACGGTCTGGCAGAGAGGCTGACTGAAGTCACGTTTTATCTGCCCTTTTCTCAGAGCCTGTGTCTGGCTTTGGGCCAAACCACTCATAATAAAGCAACTTGAAGTAATCCTCACATTTGTGGGATGTGGGGCCCGGCGGTCCTGCCCTCTTGCCCTCCTGCCCCGAGGGAGGCCCAGCCGCGTCCTCCCAGAGGATCTTACCCTGTCGCCCCTGTTAGCTCCTCTGCAGCCCCCTCGGGTTGGCACTGGGTCCAACAGCTATATCTTTCCTGAGCAGGGTCCTCATGTTCTCAGGCAGGCTGGCCTGTGGCACGTGGGCGTTCTGTCTTCTGGGTGTGCAAGGACATGCTCCCCACCCCCAAGGAAGCTGGGGAGGTGGGATATGCCCTGAGATGCCTCGGGCAGAGGTTCTGAGAGAGGAAGGCCAAGGAGGTAGGAGGAGTTAGGAGAGGCCGGGCACCTGGAGCCCCACCACTCCAGCCCTGTATGCCTGTCTCTAGCTTGCCGCCTTGGGGCCGGGGACCTGCATCACTCAGGGTGCCACAGCCACACAAAGATGCCAGCACTCTGTTCGACAGCTGCGGGTGACTCCAAATACACAAGATTGCCCCCCCCATCCCTGGAAGAAATGGTTAAATGCCCAGGAGCTGAAGCAGGTCTAGACGCAGAGACTCCAGGGCACTGGTCCCAGGCTGGCCTGGCCCCTGTAGGCAGAGAGGCAGGAGGGGCTCAGGCTGGTGCAGCTGCCCATTTGAATGGGACCTGATCTAGTGGCCCCAGGTCCACGGGGCACCGTGTTGGGGACCAAATTCCTGCATGGAGAACAGGGAAGGGGGAGTCCTGGGGAAGCCACAGACACGCCCTGGAGGCCACCTGCCCCATCTTTTGTAGTTATTATTATTTTTTGAGACAGCCTCACTCTGGACTCCCAGGCTGGAGTGCAGTTGGGCGATCTTGGCTCACTGCAACCTCCGCCCGCTGGGTTCAAGCGATTCTCCTGCCTCAGCCTCCCAAGGAGCTGGGATTTCAGGCATGTGCCAACATGCCTGGCTAATTTTGTATTTTTAGTAGGAATGGAGTTTCACCATGTTGGCAAGGCTAGTCTGGAACTCATAACCTCAAGTGATCTGCCCGCCTCGGCCTCCCGAAGTGCTGGGATTATAGGTGTGAGCCACCGCACCCGGCCTCTTGCCCCATCTTAAGATGAGTTTTATCTGCTGCACCTGGCCTGTCGGGGGCCAGGGGTCCCTCCTGCTGCTGAGAATGCAGCCTTACCAAGCTCTGGAGGAAACTGTAGGTGCCTGATGAGGTCTCGGCACTGCCCTGGTTGTCACACTGCACCTCATTCACCTGAAAAACTTCTGTTCCTCCTGTGACCCTCCGGTGAGACCCAAAGCCCCGTCTGCTGTGTTCCTGTGGGTCTGCCCCATGTGGCCACATCCTTGTCACAGTGTGCAGACCGTGCCCGGCTGAAGTGAGGCTGGAGGGTGACTTGTGAATGTGTGGGGACGAACCTGCTCTCCCAGGCGCTCCTGTGCACTCATCACATCCTCCTATATCAGCGCAGGTGAGAATCGGGATGGGACCCCTTCCCATCTCACAAATGAGAAAGCAAGGCTGTGAGGCCCAGAGATGGGCCGAGGTGGAGGGGGATCCACGCCTGGACAGCTTGGGCAGCTCTTGGCTTGGCTTTGAAAAGGCAGAGGGTTTTGAGCACTCTTCAGGCTTGAGTGCTGCCTTCTGGTTTTCTGGGTGTACGGGGTGTCACAGTAGCACCCTCACCTCAGGAGGCCAGGGCACAGCAGACTGCCCGGAAATGTTCCAGCCCGCCGTCTCCTCTGCTACTGTGAGGGCAGAAGCCATCTGGGCCCCTTCCCTTTAGTGGAAGGTACAGAAGTGAAGTGTCCAAGGCATTGGTCCCCGAGAGCTCCCTGCTGCCTGCCTACTGCAGGCCCCCTTGTGAAGAGATACCACCTGATGGGGTGCTTCATGCCAAATGCTACCCAGGTGCCAAGGTGGCCAGTGGACGTGGGGCAGAGTTTGCCCACAGGCCTTTTCAGGGTAGCAGGTGCCTGGCAGGAGGTGGTGCCTGCCCAGAGTCCATGAGGCTGCCCTACTCTAAATGAGTACAGAGTTCAAGGGGCCAGGCAGTTGAGACCAGGGGGGCCAATGGACCTTGGCACCTTGCACACACTGCAGGCCAGAGTGAACCTGCAAGTCAGTGTGAGCCCTGCAGGCCAGTGTGAACCTATAGGCCAGTGTGAGCCCTGCAGGCCAGTGTGAACCTGCAGGCCAGTGTGAACCTGCAGGCCAGTGTGAACCGGCAGGCCAGTGTGAGCCCTGCAGGCCAGTGTGAATCTGCAGGCCAGTGTGAGCCCTGCCTCCCCAGATAGAGGGGAGGGGAAATGGGAAGCCAGGGGTGTGTCGATGAAGATCCCAGCTCTGAGCTGGTCAGCCCTGGATTCAGAATCTCAGGCTACCAGGCACCATTCTGGGTGAGGTGCGTAATTTACAGCACTGTCCAGAGCCTCGGTTTCCCCACCTGTAAAACAGGGCACTGATAGTGCTTACCTTGGCAGCTGAGATGATCCATGCAGTGTGCTTGGCCCTGTGCCTGGCACATGGTAAATACCCACAAGACATTGGCAGTGATGCTGACTGGCAGGAGTGAGTTGTCCACTGAGTGGGTGGTCAGGAAAGACCAGGTTCCTTTTCAAGTAGCATTCAGCGTGATTCTGGAGCATAGAGATTCCGGCATGTAGAGCCAAGAGGGCACAGAACCCCTTGCAGCTTCCTCCCTAGTCTCCTGCAACTGTCTGTAAAGTCGTCTGTTTGCTTTCAGAGTTGTCTCCATCAACCAGCCTCATGGTCAGCGGTGCCCAGGACATTCTGATGCTGCGTTATAACAGCTCACTGTGCCTCTGGGCTCAGGGCTGGAGCAGCCAGGTGCAGTACCCCTTGGCTAAAAGCTGCCTTCCCTTGCCTTGGTGGGGACTGCCGGCATGCGCTTGTGTATCATCCTGCCTGTTCTCTGGGGTCTCCCTGCCATCCTCCCTGGCCTGGCCTTCTGGAAACTCATTTGTGTTTGTTGCTGTTCTGGAGTCTTTCTGATTGATTTGAGAGTCCCCACTATAGACTCTTCCGTTAACTCAACAGCCAGGCAACGAGTTATTAGGTAGGCAGAGTGGGGCTGGTGTCCTTCCGTATCCACCTGCACCAGGCAGAGAGAAGGCAGCTCTTCCCGGCTGCCCGCGCAGCCCGTCCCCCTCCCAGCCTCCCTCCTGGCTGCACGAATCATACAGACACACTCTACCCTTGGGTTCATGCACCTGGAGCATGTGACCAACTCATTTTTAGGCTTCCAGTTATCATAGAACTTGAATTTGTCCAGGCTAGTACTACTCAGGTTTTAGACGATCTCTTGTAGAGGGTTCTAGGTTGTCTTTCTTTTGTGGGAAGGATTGAAGCCTCTCCTCCTTGTCCTTCCCTTCTTTGCATTGTGCCAGGCATTGCATGCCAGGGGTGCCAGCCCTGGCATTCCCTCTGCACCGGGGGCCAGACTTCCATGATGTGGGAGGGCCTGCTCAGAGCTGAGCCCCGCAGGGGTGGTGGAGGAGGAGAGGACTGTGCCCAGGATGGGCTGTGGGAGGTGAGAGGGGCAGCTGGAATTAATGCAGGGGCGTGGGGTCCAGAGACCCCAAGAACAGGGCCAAGTCCCAGCATCCCTAAGTGGCCATGCTTTAGTTTCAGCAGATCTTGGTGGCAAAACCAGTTGGGGGACAGTGAGCTCAGTGGCCCATGACTAAAAGCTGAGTACAGCCGCCTGGCTGCGTGATCAGAGGCCACGGGCCGCCGGGAGGGGGTCTGCTTCCCCTTCTCCTTGGAAGGTGGTTGGTTGCCTTTGGGGGCAGCTGCTGCCAAGCAGATCCTGCACCTTCTGGAGCTTCTGTGGACGAGTGTGCGTTCTCCAGTGAGCGTTTTCTCTGCACTTGTCCCCACGCCCTCCCCACCTGTGTCCCGTGTCCCTCTAAGCTGAACTCAGTCTGTCCAGAAGGCTGAGGGTGGCTGGGTTCCTAGTTTTCTGTAAGGAAAATTTAATTTGGATGGTCGCCAAGGGGATTAAAAGGCTGGATGCTGTTCCTGCTGTTGTGAGATGGGCCTGGGCGAACCAGAAGTACTGCCTCAGCTCCTGATTGCCCCAACCAGATACCTCCCGCCACTGGGAAGGCGCAGGCAGGAGCAGATTCGCCGTGCTGTTCCTGGGCAGGAGCCAGCAGCCAGTACTGCCTTAGCCTCCTGATTCGCATGATGGGCCCTGGGGGATACACACGCCGGCCAGCTGGGGCCTGCCCTCGGGACTCAGAGTCAGGTGGCAGAGACATCACAAGATGGGCTAGAATCAAAAAGAACTATAGGTGCTGGTGCCCAAGACAGAAAAACGGTGTCGCACAGTTTAGTAGCGCAATCCAGGAAGGCTCCACGAAGGAGGAGGCTTTAGAAAAGTGCTGACTCACTCCTCCTGGTGTAAAACCCTAGCATGCTGCAAGGTAGGGCCAGGCATGTGGGGTATGTCCTGGGGTCAGCCGGGCCTTGCTGCTGCAGGCTTCTCCACCCTCTTCCATCTTGTGGGTCTGGGGAGGGTGCAAGGGGGAGATCGCAAGACCCAGGTGCTTCTTGGGTATCAGGACCAGTGAGCAGCAAGGACGCAGCCATGGTGCTGAGAGGTCATAGAACAAAGAACGAAACAAGAAACTTCTGTGGAGAGACGGTGCTCTCTTCCATGGCTAATGGGAGTCAGGTCCAGCCTCTGTGGAGGGTAGTCTGGTAATTTCTAGACAATTGCAAAGGCATGTCCCCTTCCACCAGCCATCCCACTACCTGCGTACATGTGGGCTGGAAATTTATCCTGCAGGAAAACAGGCTGCTTACACACTTGCAGGCGGCCCGTGCACAGCCTACTTACTTGAAGCGATGCTTGAAGTGGCCAAGTCTGGGAACAGCCCTGGGGTCCATTGCCAAGGACCTGCGCCCACCTCCTGCCCCACATGCCCTTGGGGCAGTGCTCAGAGGGCAGACTCTGCTGGCCTGTCTGGCTCGTCCCAGGAAAGGCACAGGGAATCTGCTCCTGCCTGTGCTATTTCGCAGGTCCTCTTGCCCACAGAGAGGCACACTGGGGATGCTGGCACACGGAGGCCAGCACGGCCCACGGGAGTGGGTGATTTGTGTCTGCCGGCTGGCAAGCGCCATGCCGCTGCCTTCTGCCAGCCTGGAGGGAAGCATGGTGCCCGACATCTCCCTGCCGGCTCTTTCACCCTCCCATTTCCTCCCCGTGTCTTGCAGATGCAGAATGACCACTTTATTACCTGGTGCTTCTGCCGGCCCCCCCCTTGGAGGATGTACCTGCCCGAGTTACTCCCAGATGGCCCAGTTGTGCTAGAAGCTACCTGTGCCTGGGAGGTCAGGAGCAGAAGGCGGCCAGAGCAGGGTGAGGGGGGCGTGGCTTG